CATGTCCATCAGAAGTACTGGTGATTACTTTGAGTAGGATAACATCTTGGTAGAAGGTAACGAAAGGAAGCCAGCCACTGAAGGAAAATTGGATCAACTGACGACAGACATAGGAAGCCCCATCCATATGTCCATCAAAAGTACTAGTGATTACTTTGAGTAGGATAACATCTTGGTAGAAGGAAACAGAAGGAAACAACGGAAGAAAGTATTGCATCAACTGACTATAGACATTGGAAATCCCATCCATGTCCATAAGAATTACTGGTGATAACTGACTATGTACATCGGAAGTAACTGTATTGAAAGTCTTATTGTTTGAAGGATGTAATGAGAAATAAAAGAGTATTTTCTGGATTTTGCGGTGAATGACTAATAACGGTAGAAGGAATATATCACTGGGAACAAATGAAAGAACTATCTTTTGTTTTTGTACAATAAATGTTTATTTTACAATTGTAAAATAGATATTTCTTGTGCAACAAAATTTGCCATGAACTGAGTAAGAGGACTAGAAAGGAATTGAGAGAGAAGAGCAGTTTTAAAACAATTTATTTTAATAAAAATAAGACCTTTACTGTACATATTTGTATATACAATGCATGCAAAGTGAATGGTAAATCCTATTAAATATCAAGAAGCGAGATCACCCATGAAGTATTGGAATATACAATTTAATATTATTGCTACTGTAAAACTACTTCARCTAGTGCTAATTGACTGAAATGGTCCTTTCCCCTATTGACATTGGCTACGCTCACATWAAAYCAAYAYCTCYGCGCGGCCACGTAATATCGTSWATAYAACAGACTATCTGTGAAATAATCATGATAATATGGCTTCAGTTTGTACKTCAAACCCATAATACACCTCGGTGCACAACGGCATTATGGGAAAGGACAATCATAATTCTAAATTTCAGCTTTGCCAACTTGTCTTTTTAAAAAAGAAATCATTGTTTAAAAAAATAATCGAACTGCCACAGATAAACTCTTTCGGCTATGATTAAATAACAATATACTATTGATTTTAGAATCGATACTTACTAAATAAAATAGTATACAACGTGTACAACAAGCAAGAATACTGGAAAATAGAAGAGCTATCTTTTTCAAGGAGTTTTCAAGGACTTTTTCGAAATTTTCAAATTTTCAAGGAGCTTCAAGTGCCCTTGAAAACGAGTTTTCAATTCAAGCACTTTTCAAGGATTTAAGGAMCTGCACGGACCTTGTATTATAGACTAGCTACATAAATAGTAGATTTAATGATTATCTATGAAGTAAACTATTGTCTAAGTCAAACCATCAAATTCAATCAGGTAAAATACTAGGAAGGTTACAGTTATCCGACGTACTTAAGAACTACATAAGAAAAAAGAGAAAAATGAAATTAAAAAAAAAAGAAATGACTTTAGAGACTGTTGTCTATAAATGTAGGTGCATTCCACATTTTTATCGATTTAATCGCTGGCCATTTTACTGTACTGTGTCTAATGCCCCAGCCAAATCTCCTATAGCTTAATGTTATACATAAGTCGAGCTACAACATCAGCGATTTTTAAAACATTCTCAACTCTTTTTTCCAGGATTGTAATTYATTAGATCTCCCCTACGTATTTATGACTTGTCACTCAACGTAATGTTTACAAGTCGAGGCTYGAGAGGTTAGGAATGCGACGTAATGGAATGCAATTTCTTATTTCGATTTAAATGAAATAAAAYGCTTCCTCGATCTTTTTAAAATTTTATCATGCTGACTAGTTTCGGACAGGTGTTCCACCCTTTATCAGAGCTAAAATCGAAAAGATATTATTTACTCATCCAATAGAATGATTATCTTTGGTTACGTGCTATAGGCACTTCAAGCAGATCACAAAATGACACATATACCAGAYTTTTTATCTTTCTTGGCAGGTGTCTCGGTAGTTGGTTTGTTAGTGTCTTTATTTTTGTCTTCTTTATTTTCGCCGTTTGTTTCTTCTTCTTCGTCTTTTTCTCCATCTTTTTTGTCATCAGTGTTTTCCTTGTCTTTGTCATCTTCTTCAGCCTCTCCTTTCTGTAACAAAATGGTCACTATGATTTGTTTGGTTGTTTGGGCCAAGTTGTGGTAATAATATAGAGCGCAATCAACGAAATCACGAAATTTACTTCATTCTTTTTCACGCTTTTTGGTGTTTGTCCTTTAGAGTTGACGCCCTAAATCCGTGAAACTAATATCACCAATTACCACTAGATAGTTTTGATAAGACAATAGAATACAAAGGAATTAGCATAATTCAGTAATATTTTGTACTATTTAAGTTTCACGGATTGAGTGCGTTAACACTATCATCAAATTTCCATGGTTTTATAGTCGGCACTTGAAGTACTTCAAGCAGCACCTCGTTTTCACGTGTGAGCGCCTGCGATATTTTGAAAAGCGCCCGCACATATTGAAAATCTTAGAGTAATTTTCATCCGTCTGTGAAACAATTACTACTAGTCAGTGTTTAATAGTAACTATTAGGGTGTAGTAGGCTACCAAAAGGCAAAATCAAAACAATGTTTGCCTAATTACTTTGTCGCATGTCATAAGTTAAACTATTCGGAGCTAATAGGGGGTAATAGTATTTAATAGCTCAATTCCTATTTCAMAGACGGATGAAAATGACTCTAATTACTTCTGGTCCAAGCTGACTAATTGTGTCAATAGCTAATTCGGCGAATTTCGCTTCATAGTACATGAATCTCACTCAATTGTGAGACACTATTGTCTTTTTACGAGTGACTGAGCTTTATGCACGGCGCCTCGTCTTGATTTAAGGAATAAAAGAATTCTAAAATATTTAGGATACTACGCGCGCTGTGATTGGTCGAAAACCATGTTTGATTACAGTATCAAAACACGCTCGCGYAYGTCAAAAATTTCTTTTTTTCTTTTAATTTTAGAAAAGAAATAAAAGACGAAATTTCGTGTTTGATACTCTGATCAAAACACTTGGGATGTATGGAGAGCACTCGAAAAGCTGGAAACCACTACGCTACGCGTCATGGTTTCCTACGCTTCTCTCGTGCTCTCCCTACATCCCGCGTGTTTTGATCAGAGTATCAAACACGGAATTTCGTCTTTTATTCCTTAAATGTGTGACTACAGAGTGGAAATTCGCAAGTCGGCCATTTCCTACAACAAAAAGTTCCACAACTATTACATTATTGTGTTAATACCTTTTTCTTTCCTTTTTTGCCTTTGCTTTCTTTTTCCTTTGTTTCTGCATCAATGTTGTTATCTTCTGTTTCATCGTCTTTGTTTTTCYTTTTGTTCTTCTTATTTTTCTTGTCTTTTTCATCTAATAATGGTAATTATGTCATGTTTTTATTATAATCTATTTTAGCCTGTGTACATTCGTTCCCACCCCTCCCCTCTACGGTTAAGTTTCTCCTGTGGATAACTACAAATAATGTACTTCAGGTTTTGTAAGTGCCTTAACATTGATACAGTACAACAGCTCGACCACTACGGTCAGGACAAAGCTATGATTGATCGAGACAACAAAAACAAAGAATTGTAGGATTATGTCAGACAATGCCTATTGCTCTACTAGAAACTTTGTTCTAACAGTAGGCTGACAACTCTCTTAAAGAGTAGACTTTGTATCGAACTGAGAACTGGTGAACTTGATGTTCTACGTGTAAAAAGGGATTTCTGGTTGTATCGAGTTGTTCACTACTGTTGGAACAAAGATTGTGAKTTGATGAAATAACAAAAGGCCGATTTAGACGACACAACTTTTGCTTACAACCATCGCATGCAACCTGCGTAAGTCATTCTTACAACATCGCTACAACTGTCGTAGGGATTTTAAACAATTGCTTAATAGCCTCACGACAGTTGTAGTCATGCTGTAAGGATGACCTACGCAGGTTGCATGCGATAGATCTAGTTGTAGGGAAAAGTTGTGTCGTCTAAATCGGCCTAAAGAGAGACAGGCAATACAAAAAACCGATCAATCATGAGCTTCGTTCTGACGGTAGTGGTCGACCCCTTCAAGATGCTGCACGACCGTGAATGAGTCAAATGTTTGAATGTAAATGTTCCGACCTTGTGTTGAGCACAACATTCTATTTTATTTTTGGTTAAATATTATTCATTTAAAATACCTTCTTTTGCATTCGTTTTATCCTTCTTGCCATCGCCCTCATCGTCCTCATCGTCCTCTTCCTCTTCTTCGTCTTCGTCTTCCTCATCTTTTTTGCTTTTCTTTTTTTCATTTGCAACTTCTTCGATTTTCTTATCTTTAGATTCCTTTTCTTTAGCTTTTTTACTTTGTTCTTTGTTTTTATTTTTGCCTTTTTTGGTTTGGTTTTGATTTTCATCTTCTTCTGCCTCCTCGTCTTCTTCTTCGTCTTCATCATCTTCTTCGCTTTCAACGGACGTTTTTGCTATAGATTTAACAGCTTTTGAAGCATCGTTTGTATTCTCTTCCTCACTTTCGCTCTCTTCTTCTTCTTCGTCCTCTGCTTTCTGGGCAGGTTTGATAATTCTTTGGTTTTTTGAAGGTTCTTTTGTGTGAGTCTCTTCTTCGCTTTCGGTTTCATCATCTTCCTCTTCGTCTTCTTCATCATCTAAAAGTTTCATTTCAATGTTCAATAAAGTAATAAATATATTTTATTTTAACAAAACTGCCTATTCTAAGTGGAGGGAAGCCAGAGGCCACTGGAAAATATCGCGCGCTTTAAAGATTGTAAATTTGATGTAAATATGATGTAAGTGTCCAAAATTCTGTAAATTTGATGTAAATGATTTCCATTAAATATACAGAATTTTGGACACCTACATAATATTTACATCAAATTTACCACCTTTAAAGCGCGCGATTTTTTCCAGTGAGGAGAGCTGAAGGAAAGAGCAATAATTACTTAATTTAAGTATTTTATACAATGTGCTTAAAGTAAAAATTCTACTGTGTCATTTTGGACGATATTTTGGTCATGACAGCCATCTTGAATTTTAGTGTTTTCAAATACAGCCCGGTATTAAAAAGGTTGTCGACCCTAAAAGAAATTTCTAATTTTGCAATTTTCACGTGTCTTATATGTTGATCGTTTCCAACCACTTCCATGAGATTCAAAAGATAAAAGACCGATTGCCATGTTGGAGGAATGAACGATAGATACTAATGAGAAATTATTTCTTGAAGTTAATCCAATATGGCCGGTGTGACGTATAGTGAATACGAAAGAAAATGCAGTTAATATCGATATAGAATTTTAAAAATGCCTTGTGATTTCTGTACTATAAAATACACTTTTAAACAAATGGAAAGTAAATATTTTTTGACAAGTGCCAATTGGAACATTGGAAATGCCTCACTAGTAGGTAGATAATCTTGTCAAGATTTGCTTTATATAGATAGTTCATTTTTTACTCTGGATATCTCATAAAATATTTCAAAAACATAATACAACATAATTTAAGTTTGATTTTATTTACCTTGTTTTTTGACTTCTTTTTTTATTTCTTGTATTCTTGTATTTTTCTTATTTTTTTCATTTTCATTTTCGTCTTCTTCATCGTCCTCATCCTCACTTTCTTCCTCTTCCTCTTCTTCAGATTCCTCTTTCTCTTTTTTAGCCCTTGGTAGAGCCCTTGGGGGTGCTAGAGGGGAGGGTTTTGGTAATCCTCTGGGGAGTGGCTTGGGGGAGTTTGTCACTGGTTTTTGGTCTATAAAATGAACAATAATATAGAATATATATGTAAGGGCAATTTATTATTTAGTTAAACCAGTCTAAACAATTTGAGGGTGACTATGAAGTTTTGAGTACCATCCAGTTCCCAAGTGCAATTATCACACCAAAAAAAACAAGATTTCGACTGCTCTATTGTTTGTATTATTCAACAAAATTTTCTGAAGCAACGGGCTCAATGCACTGATAGGATCACTCCACGATGGGTACTATCATGCCATGTACATGTAGTAGATTCTCCACCAGTGAGAGCCGAGGGACATTTGTTGTTTAATAGTCTTCTTCACGGTTACCTGCGCCATCTTGAAAGGTAGCCGTGCCTTTGCATCAAAGCAAGACGACTGTTGAGTTGTCATTATGATAGAAACCTTCTTTCACACCTACAGACAATTATTCACAGGTATCTATCATTGCACGCTCAACGGTTGTCTTGCTTTGATGCAAAGGCACAGCTACCTTAAATTCAAAGATGGTCAGGGAAACAGTGAAGGAGACTATTACACTATTAAATGATGTTAATAATTAATAATAATATTTACCTTCATCATCAGGATATGTTATTTTTGGAAGTAGTGACATGTTTAGTGGATTGGTTGTTGTCTTATCTTCTTTATCAGGATGAGTTGTTTTGAGGTTTTGTAATGTTCTCTTTAATGCTCCATTTAGTGGTGGCAAAGAAGACTTGTTTACAGGCGGTAAGGATGTACTCAAATTTCTGTTTATATCCTGCACAAAAAAAATTGTTTTTAACAAACATAAGGTTAGAGCTCTTGACACCTATGATCGTCAGAAACCTAATGATTACGGAAAGCTATTGGTAATCCCTAATAGTAATAGTAGAACAGTTCCAATCGTTTGCACTGCCAGATCAAGCACTAGTTCATTAAAGGGCTACTTGGACGAAAATT